GCGACGCATTCAACGTAGTGTCCTTGGTTGTCGGTAGAATGGTACTGCCAGTATCACTTATGGCAACGTTATGTGGTGTCTCCAGTGGGGTCAACAGTGAGATGCGCCATATCACGACTACGAAGGCTGTTGTCACTACGAGTGACATTAAGACAATGGCCAGGACATTGCCGCTTAGGAGCCGACGGCGATCCATAATTCCACGGGTTGATGTTAAGAGACTATGACGTATATGCATTTTACATGCCGGTGGGATGTTTGTCAACAGATAAACGATGTGCCAGCAATGGCTTGATCCCATATCCTTGCTTGTGCTGGTGTGGTCGTGCGTAACGCGTCTGCACTGTGCAGCGCTACGTTAACCTTTACATGCTTTGAGTTTTCGGCATGAGTGAATAGATTGTGTAACAATGTAACATGGTGTGCATACATGGTCCGCTGCCAGTCAGATTTTGCACAATAACGAATACATTTTATTGACCAGCCGTCTTAAAGTGAACGGAATGACATCGCCAAGCAGCATAAAATAATATCGTTTGATTAGGCAGCGCCGGGCAGAGTGCCGCCGCAAGCTTTTCGAAACAGATTTTCGATAACCTCTACCTACAGACGACGCATAAAACACGCAGGGCCTACGTCCAGCTGGGCCGGCGATACCTCGAGCCCGTAATGGGGTGCGCGCCGACTTCGCTCTACAGCGTGCCGTGACGCCGTGACAAAGATGTTGACGCGGGCAGCTGGCTGCTCTTGCTCACGGAAGCACCGTTTGTGGTCCTCTTTAGCCACCAACTGAAAGGTCAAGTACGAAGTTCTTGACCTGTACTGTACAGAGTACTACCAGCCAGGATATATTCAAGATCAGCGTGGATTGCTTATCAAGCGGCCCACAAGACCAATAATGACTGTTTTGAGCTGGCGGTAATGCTCAAGTAAGGAAAGGTCACAACCATCAGTCCACGGCACACGACAGTACGGCTCACAATTCATTTCAAAATTCACACACAGTTAATAAATTAATTTGACCTCACGTTAGATGGAGATTTCAACAATAAATTAATAATATTTATCTGTACTACTAAAAAACTACTACTGATAAAAAATTTACTACTTCGCTTTGATCCGTCATTGGATCACTTGTACTTTATGGTGCAGCCATCGGATCACTCAGCACTCAATATCAGATCAGCAAGTATGCAATGCGCCACGTGAGGCGGTTGGTGATCTGTTAGCTGAACTGCTGCTGAAGCACGCTGTTTACTGTATGGTTAAGCTAACCGAACACCAGCCCCCCACGTGGCGTGCTACGTATCTGTCGATCTGATAGCATGGGTTGCAGTGATCCGATAGCTGCACGGTAAAGTATAAGTGATCCAATGACGAATCAAAGCGAAGTACTAAAAAATTCTTTGTATGCTTTGTATGCTTCTGAATAGTGCAGGACGAACGCCGGACGGAAACAGTCCATTGCTTGTCTTGACTTGCAAGACGACTTCCGCACCGTCGTGCTGTCGCCGGATGTGGTTTATTGTATCGGTGAGGCCGGCTCACGACGCCTCCAGTATCCCGACATCCAATACGTCTGGGTTCCGGGATGCGGGCTGCCAGAGAAGGTCGTCCCGCACAGCGGTCCGGAGGAGCCGCCGTTCCTGCTAACGCTGTGCCGGCTGTTGCCGAAGAAAACCTTTTACACCTTCCTGTTCATGCTGGGTCGGTCAATGCTGGGCTAACTCCCTCTACTGTTTAACAAATTACGAATTTATTCATGTCTTGCTTGTATTTTCAGCCCATTGACATGCTATGCGGAAGTCGCACCGCGACAACCGCACTAGATGACCAAACCTACTCAATCGGTAGAGTGGGAATATGCTCTGGACTCCGTAAGTGGTACTACTGCCTACTTCCACTAGGTACGAGCGGATTGCTGTGCCTAACAAAAGTTACCGAAACCGAAACACTCAGGAACTTCCCAAATGTTTAATCACCAAACCGAACGAACAAGCAAACTGAGCAGAACGAGATATGAGATATGAACTTCCTTCTAACCTAGAGCCACACGACCTTTCAGCTAGAAACAAGCTCACAGATTTAGTTAAAGTTAGAAACTTCAGACTGATTAGTTAGACCAGAATCGTGGATGCAATTAGCTATCAAATGCGTTAGATAAGAACAGCAAATCGTACGTAACGGAACAGACAACACGTACGTCATAACACGTACGTACGTAATATGCGCAATCTATGGATAGCGCGTTACCATTCTTTAGTCAGTATTAAGTACTGCGCCCTGATCGGCATCCCCAGTGTCGTCGTCGTGGGCCAGCCTGACTCGTGGAAGACGACGCTGGCCAGTTTAGCGCTGAGTTTCTTCGGACGGGAACTGCACACACTGCACACACCGCAACGTCCGACAGATAGCGATGCCGGCGTTACGTGAGCGCTGGCAAAAGCAGCGACTGCCGCACATATTCCACTACGTGGCCGACATCGCCACACTCCGAGAGGTCATTCTGGCCTCGTTCGAGCAGCAGTTGCATGTGAATTATCGCACGGTGGACGCTGACGTCCAACGTTCTTATCACCGTCAACGCGGGGAATGCCGAAGGGCTGGTGCAGTCGGGGACTGACCGGTCAGACAGCGCTGATCTTGTCACTGCAGTTTGACAGTACTATTTTCAATAAGTGGTGACCTTTGACAGAGAACGCCTCACCAGCCGCATCGTCTTCCTGCAGATCGACGAGCCAGTCACCGACTGGGACTTCAGCGATGCGCAGGCTTTCCAGCGCGGCAAGGCGATTGCAGCCACTTACACCGAGCTGGCACTCCTGTCGCCGGATGCCTTGAACGGCTTCCTGGCCAGGGTGCACGCCATACAAAAGACCTTGGTGCTCGTCATACGCAGTCTGGGCGACGACACGGGCGTCGAACGTACGGCCCGCATGTGGTCGATTCTGTTCACGGTGGCGACAGAAGTAAGACGGCCGATGTATATGCATATCGACACAGTATCAAGGCCAGTACGTTGGTTCGTAACAGGTGCTGCGGGCGTTGGGGCATTTCGACAAGTTTGCCGACGGGTTGAAGGAGTGTCTGGCCTCGCAGATGGCCTTCTCCGCCCGCTATCTGGGACGGAACAGCCACACCGCCGAGGATCGGCCGTCGGTGGGCCTGCCAGTAGTGGACGACGCCAAATTGGCGAAATGGACCACCGACCTGGTGGAATTGGTTACAATCCTACGACGCGAGCTGCCGACGGAGGTGAAGCGACCTTTGTCCTTTAGGTTGAATAATTGTTTCTGCTTCTCTGTCAAACAGGTGGCGACGATATTTCGGTCGAAGTTTACGTGCCAGAGCACCGACCGCCTAGCCTTCGCACGGTCCAACCTGCCGGTGCTGCGGGAGAAAGTCCACCGCCAGGACTTGGTGGACTCCGCTATGCAGTTGGAAGGCACCGGTGGGATGCCCAATAGCCCATTACCTATAGTGTCAAGTTTGACCTGACGAAGGCCACGGGAACGTACCAGCAGCGCCGGGCCATTCTGGTGCCGCGTTTGCTGTTCAGTAATGAGCAGCTGCTATCGCTAGATGGAACGCGATCAGCAAATAAAGAGAACGAAGTGTAATTACTGTGTAATTTTACACGTTATCACGGCATCATGAGATTGGTTTCCTTTAATATGCAATTTAAGCGCTATAGAAGGATACCACTTGGTACAACATAACACCCAAGAACAACAAGTGTAAGCCTCTGCGGAAAGAAACTCGGGAATTTCTGGCCGGTGGCGGTTCCAATCCGCTTCCAGCCTTATCGACCCATTTCTTTTTCTCTGTCTGCCCGGGTAAGGAGCGGCCCGGGTGTCAGCACAACGGCCAGTGGTTTTCCTCACTCACACGGTACGAATATTATTACATTCGCCTAATTTCGCTTCCCTTCTTGCTAACCAGGGAGGCGGCGATCATGGTCGGCGCCGTGTGCACTACAGGTCGCATTCGGGCCCCACGGGCATGAGCGATCGGGCAACCAGCCCGTTCCTCCGAGACCCAGACGCACAGTTTGTTCATCCGGGAGTTATAGCGTGTCACCGTCATGCAGCCGGCGGTGCATGGGCAGGGACGCTTGACCGCCCAAATGGCAGCTGCTAGGTACCGTCGGATAATGGCCGGGCGGTCGGTGTCTAATGCTACATGTGTAGAGTCGATCTGGGATGTGCAGCGATTAGCGCATCCCTTCGTCGAAGCCAGCGCCTGTGCGTGTCGTTACCATCGCATGCAGTAATCGCAGCAATTCCTTCTACCCATCCATTGAGCGCTTACTGAAAGAACTATGCCAGATTGCGCATGCATTAATGAATTTCCTGCTCCTACTTGCCAGAACGTTCGCAGTGCCGATCACGGGGCGAAGGAGACCGGTAGACCGCGCAGGGAGAAGAATAGTAGACAGCCCGTAGACATCACTGCAGACATACTGTAGTCGACTGGTTTTTAGGGGCAGGGTGACTACAGGTTGTTTACAGATGTCTATCGCTGTATACAGGCAGCCCTCCTTAGGTGCCTGTATACACCTGTACAGTAGATGCTTGTTGGCAGCCCGTAGTCATTGGCGTGAAGCTATGTAGACACGGTACTGGAAGGATCTACAGGATGTCGCAGCAGGATGGATGTGCCTACTGTGTGTCTACAGATGTCTACAGGTGTCTACAGTGGTGCTATCTGTCGGGGAAAAAAGCTTTGACAGTGTCTACAGGGCGAAAACAGGTTGTCTGCAGATGACTACAGTGGCTACAAGAAGAGAAAAACGTTCCATATATATTACTGACGGCACTTAACAAATGCTCACTACGCTGAAGTAAGTTTGACCTTCCAGCTGTGTACTCTGTACATGCCGTCGTGCACGGCTTTTTCATAATATAGAAGTGTCTATACATACACCGAAAGCAGTCCGTATTGCGTTTGATTTACGGCTTTATGTAGCGTCTGGTTTTAGGTACTGTAATAATCAACAATGTATCTCCTTTATTATGTTACAGTGAACAAAGCCAAATTGTAAGCATGTGCGTTAAGTGCAAAACTATGACCATCTGTGAAGCAGAATGATTTTTGTTTGCACCGAGTTTTCGCGGAGCTACATGAACGATTCAACAACATTTACTACCAATACCAACACCAGAGTTGGAGTTTGTACAGCTGAACCCGAGTTTCTGGAAACCCTCAGACAAACGATTAATTGGTAGAAGCTACGCTTTTATCGGCCCAATCGCCGCTGCCTCCTCCCCGCTCTTGCAATTGTGACAGACGCAACCGAGATCCGGTAGGGACCACATCCGGCTGGTCACTGGGCCTTTTCTTCTATAAGCGTTTGATGCCTCTTCTCTTTTATTTGTAACTCAAGAGTACCTCGGTGAAAGCTGACATACTGCTTCAAACGCAGAAGCCCAACCATTTCTTCTTCGCGCGTATACGGAATTCCCACAAGAATTTCACTTAAAAAGAAATACGAAATAAAACCGTGGATGTCATCCCATACAACAGAATGGTTTCCCTTTCTGCATATGTATATATTGCAAACCATTGATGGAGTTTGTGTAGATCAGGCTGTCTCTCTTCAACTTTGATCAGAATAAGAACGTGGCCAAGAATTTGCTCAGTGTCAGTCAGGAGAGCAAACAGACGGTAATGCCATCTAGTGGGTATAGCACTACCGTTGGACGTGGTCAGCCAATTACGCGCACACGAGCTTTTGGAGTCGCGCCAGCCGGCCGGAAGTTACGAAGGTGACGTGTTGTCGAACTCCGGATCGTCTCTTTCCTGACGCTCATCGTGATCCTCCATAAACCATTGGAAATTTACTTCTAAAATTTAAAATTTAAATTAATTTAATTTAATTAATTAATTTAATTTAAAATTAATTTAATTTAATTTAATTAATTAATTTAATTTAAAATTAATTCAATTTAATTTAAATCTAATTTTAAATTTAGTACTTCTTCCATGTCCCGATCGTATTGCTCGTCCCATTCGTCCTGCTGCTCCATTTGATGGGTATGAACAACGGCGGCCTGGTGCTGCCAGATAATCCTGTCGGCAGCTTCATCTGCGGCTTTGGCCGCGGCGACAGCATTGCGTCGCTGGAGTTCGAACACGACGTCCCGCTGATTATCCAACCGGAAGGCTCTCTCCTCCGCGGTCTCCGAAACCGTTCCCTCGGGGCGGCTGTAAAAATCCGCGGCAGTGGCAACCCGCGCATCCACTTCCGGTTCCGGCTCCGGTGCAGTCGCGTCGGGCTCGGCCCTCGTGATGGTACCGATGTCCGCTGGAACTGGCGTGCTGCGGGGCACTTCGCCAGCACTATCTTCGCCTACAGGCAGCCTTGGGCGAAGACGGCTGGTGACGGGTTCGCCGGGAATGCTGTCGATTACCCACTGATCAGCTCGTGTACGCTTGTTCCACGGGCGCTTTCCCGGTTTACGTGGAGCTAATGGCAGCTCTCTTTTCCCCTCCTCGGATACCGGCAAATGTTCCGAAACAGTCACCTGGGGCACGCTGGGCTCCTGGTTAACTGGGCGCGGTATGTCAGGAACGGCGCCATCGTGATGCGCTGCCTGATGGCTCCGATCTGCCCAGGACAGGTTCCGCAGAACACCGCCCGCGACCTTTCCCTGGCAATCGAAGGGGCTCCGCATGTGGTGTTTGGCGTGGCTATCTGCAAAAGATCTACGTATGGCGGCAGCGATTTCACGGCGGAACCCCGTACTTATGGGAGAGAAGGCCGGGAAAGGGCCAAAACGGCGCAGCTGGTGCAGCAGCTGTTCACAGATGACGGTGGCCGGAGAATCCTTTCCCGGCGTGTAATCGAGGCACTGCGGAATAACGCTGGCTAAATGTTCGCGTACTGAAACCAGCTCGACAACGGCCAACGTACGTGGCATTGTAAACAAAATAATCATGTAAATATGCGCATGTATGAAAATGAGACACCGTTTCGATTGGTGCAGTTAATTTATTTTCTGCGTTCGCTAAAACTTTGCTTGGCAACCGTAATATTATGGTCCTAGCACACCCATCTACCGTAATTGCACTGCGGCACAGGCTTAAGTTCTAACACATTCCATCTAGCTTACACTGCGATAATGCAATATGGGATTATTACATCCCATCTACCTTACACAGTTGCACTAATAATAATACATTATTATGGTTACAACACTTCCCATCTACCTTACACTGTGATTACGCATCCCATCTACCTTACACTGCGATAATATTATGGTTTTTAAACATCCCGTCTACTACCTTACACTGCGATGTGTACTTAATATTATGGTTTACACATAACATCTACCTTACATTGCGGTACGGGCTTAACACATCCCATCTACCTTACACTCTGATCTATGTGAACGTGGTCACTGCGGCATGTCTGTCCCTCAATTCCCTTAGCACGTGCTTCGGGAAGGTACAAAGTGTCCTCACTGATTCGTGGCAGTGAGGTTAGTGACACGCCAGGTGGGCAAGGAACTGACTCCCACGGCCATGGAACTGAGACCAGCACTGGGTGCGTGATCAGGTGCCTCCGTGATTTGTGGCCAGGTTGTATGCTGCGGTGTCCATTAATTTCGGAAATCATTCATTTCGGAAACCATTCATTTCGGAAACCATACGTTATCACAGTAGTTTAATATTATTATACTATTATAACAGTAGATTAATTATTATAACTGGTACTAGTATGTTTAGTAGCCATTGTACAGTCTGTGTACTTTGTATCTGTACAATTAAACGGGTTCCCGAAATAACAGTATTCCATGTACAAATTCTGTACAATCTTCATTTCAGCGCAAAATCAACGCAACATATTGTTTTATCGGCACGTCTCACGTTAGGCTGCAACATGTAAATGTATGGTTTATGAGCACGGTTTATGACATACTTCTACGCGCAACTGCTGTGGTTTTTTTCGTGTGTCAGAGATTATTGTTTTGGTTATGACGCCGCTTATCTGCAGCCGTGTTCGATCGTGCGCACTAATACACGCTAAATGCGGGTAACATTGCTAAGCTCGATTATGATGCAGTTAATTCTTGTGCTCTCATTGTAACCCACAACACAAGCAAATCGAACCGTCGACATGGCAGTTGTCAGTTAGTACAGTAAATGAAAGTTTATGAAAAAGATCCCTGAAATGCTTTTTCGTTGACAATTCACAATTGTATAATTGTTTCTGTACAATAATGGCCGAAATAACGTCTTCTGTCACTAACTGTAAAGGAAAAGTGTTGAAATGCATGGTTTCCGAAATGAACGATTTCCGAAATGAATATTTTCCGAAATGAATGATTTCCGAAATGAATGATTTCCGAAATGAATGGTTTCCGAAATGATAGGGTGCCGTATGCGGCTGCCTTGCGGTGGTTTATTGCGAGAGGCTTGTGCAAGTGAGGCCTGCTTTTTGGCTTTAACAAAGAGCTTGTACAACAAATTATTCCCAGCAAAAAATCTAGCTAAAATGCTAGTAGCAGGGAAAACATGATGGGAAGGCGGGTGTAGTGCGATGGTATGACGAGGTCGTGCAGCAGCTAATGTCTCATTAAACACGTTTAATTGTTATTAATGTGGCGTACGAGTATTGAACTATCTGCTCCGGAGTCCGTACCGCCCACTTCATGGTTACACAGCACCAGCATAGTCTTGGTCGTTTCTGGATTTCGGAGGCAATTCAGCAACGAGCAAGGAGCAAACCAAGAAACGCCGGGAACCCGTCCTACCGGATACAGCTTAATAAGGTAGGTATCACACAGCCAGCGACAACATTCAAGGAAATCCGACGACAAGCAGGGCCACCTACCTCATACTCTTGGCTGCGCTAAAATCCAGTTCGCTGTAATTCGCGTTATTCCACTTACGGATTCCGTCAATACATCAACGTTCTTATCAGTGTAATGGGAGCCGAATTTTTCTCAAAAGGAAGTGAAAACCCGAAAAACTCTTACGGCACTTATCAGACCAAAACCCGGCCGGAAATTGATGGTGGCCTGTAGTCAGTACTGAGCTGAACTGTCTGACTACGGCCCATAAATAATCCGTTGAGGACAGTGCGAATGCAGGTGTGCTTGCAAATAGCGCGCAGATGACCTTTTTCTCCAATATCCCGGTCGGCTTTGATCTCAAAGCGGCCGACAACCCGTGTGCGCGGCCCGGCCCCTGGAGCGTTCCTTAAACTTGTAAAAATACAGTACAACACCGCTGAATTTACATCACTAAACACCGTGGACATCCCTGGGAACCGTCACCCCGGATTCACAGGATCTGACCAATCCTATCGGATAAAGCGGACCGTTGACTAGGACCCGTGTGGACAGAACCTGCCCTGTGGTAAACCTAGTTGGAATTAGCCATTTTGCGTCTAGGTTTTTAACCATAACTTGTTTTTTAGACCTTATTAACAAAATCAATTGGCTTTGGATCTCTAACTATGATCTTTTCTTTAATTCCCACTGGAATTGTGATTCTTTCATTTCGATGTTTACCTAATGAGCCTCATAAACTTTATTTTTTTACTTGATCGACCGAAGAAGCCTTTCCAAACCACACTGGAACCCCCAGAACACCGAGTGCACTCCAGATTTCGGCCGTTCGGTGCACTGCACCGGGGGTCTGGAGGCAGCCGCCCGATCGGGTTGAGAGACAAAGTGGCATCCGGCCCTACCGGGTATCGGATCCTGACACCCTACCGGGTTGGTCAGGGGCAGAGTCGGGAAGGTGCTCGAATGCTCCCATTCCCGCCCAGAGACATGTCAGAGACCGCTCGAGGCGGTAGACACCTCTTGTGGCTCGCTCTGTCGCCCGCACGCAGGTGGCCACGCCACTCGTGCCGCTATTACACGCTGACTACACTTTGTCTGCGCTGACCAATCAGCGCATTGCTGCACTCGTGGGGGCGTAGCCCAGCGCTTACGAGCTATTCCATGCTTTACGTCATCAGCTGTTACGCAGCTGCAGCACGCCGTTCATTATCACTACTTTTTCCACAGTGATTCCGTATCGGTTTTCTATTGGTTTTGTGGTTGCTTTATTGTTCCAATAAAGGCTGGATTTGCTCCCATTTTCTTCTTCTGCTTCTGTGTCTTCTGACAGTATGTTATTCGTTGCACTATCTAAAATTTTACCCTTAAGTAGTATTACTCTAAGACTGTCTAAGTACTTAATTTGCACATTAGATTTCATACTACATAGAAGAAAGTGGGATCACCAGATTTCAGAGAAACCAACGCGATATATGGCTGACTACGATCAAAACGTCAGCAAACGCTATACGCAGCTGTCCGCAGTACTGAGTACTGATTACAACAGGAATAGTGCATCGATTCCGTAGATGGCAAGTCTGCTCAGGTTACGGACATCCACCAGCCGCAGGTCGTCTGTGGCCCACGATTTTGGTCGGCCGTCGGACGTAAAGGGGCTGAACCTGAAATACAGTTACACCACAAGGTCCACAATACAAAGTCTATTTTAATACTACTACAATACTTTAGTGTAGAGAAAGACAAGCGGTTGCACAAGCAACTTTCGCTCTGCAAAGTTTTTTCGCCAGAGAATCGGCATTGAAATCCAGCGAGTAAATGCGGTTTCTGTTCTCGGTACAATTAGCGACACGGTTGAGAAGGAAAATGTGTGTTTTGCCTTTAAATAACCTAAACGGGAACGATGTCATGGATTTTTAATCTTCTTACTTAGACAAAGCAAATAAAAGAGAAACTGCAAAAAATATCCTCTTTAATGTGGTAGTTCATAATAGTACTACCAAGAACTTACTATAGCTAGAACTTACTAGAACTTACTCTCACACTATAGTAAGTACTTGGTACTACAAAAAGCAGATTCCGTGCAATGCGCAAACATGCGCTTATTCGTTCGTATCCAGACCGGCGATTTTATGAGCAGTTTAATATCTTTTTCCTATTCAGCAAATTACAACAACTCATTACCATATGTGTATCTGCGCAGGCTCTGTAGAACTGGGATCTGTCGCTATACTTTAGGAATTTCTGGAAAAAAGGCCCCTGTCGTCCATGTGGTGCGAAATGAGGTATTCAAGAATTTTAGCATGCAGCTTCTTTCAATGGTTTTGCACCGATTTTGAGAGACCATAGGTGAGTATCAATTTTGAAATACGGTTTGAAAAATTCGGGGAAACAGTCCACGGGTACAAGACATTACATGGATTGTGATTTCGGGGGGTGCCTCAGGATGGCGGCGAGCACAACGGAGGCATGGTCTGTAATCTGTATATTACTAGTCCGTATTGTACATCGAAGTCACTAATATCCCAGCGCAACCAAAATTTAAGCGGTGGTACGGGTTTTTAATACACACTGCTTTACTGGCAGAGTGCACACTCTGCTGCAATGACGCAGCGCCTCATGATCGATTTGATTGCGTCGTACTCTCCGGTCTTTCCGTTCCGGTAGCTGTTATCTTTGGTTCCCAACATTCTGATCTTCGTTTCTGTTTAGAATTTGCATTAAGCGGTAACAGTGATTGTGTAAGTGGTTAACCTGAATAATTAATAAGGAGTATTCATCAGTTCAGTACAGTATTCATTGTTGATCGTCAGTGATCGTATTTACAAACATGAAACACTCCTATCGACAACAAAACAGCATTGTTTCTGCGGACCCAAGGCCCTGTGTCAGTGATTATTTATAGCAATTAGCAATGTAACTTGGAACACACCGAAAGCGTAATTTCATCGCATTAATCCATGTTTACTTTCAGCTACTAACGTTCCAAGTACTTACCAAAAAATCATTTGTTTACACCACAGCTATCAAAACAGAGTAAGCGCGCAACAGGTGTCATGTATTGTCATGTGTAGGAATCGTATCTTTATTGTATCGCACTGGTCAGGAAAACAACTGAAAGGAAACTGAGGAATCGTAACTAGAGAACAGGGAAACAGAAGAGAAGTTGCTAAGAAGACAAGGACAAAGGTCAGAAATAGGAAAGTATCAGAAGGACAACAAACACGTGAACTCAGTATACTACATTTCCTTCCCTCGCCCAAAAAGAGCTGGGTTGAACCATTGCAGCAGAACCATATATTTAGCAGCATACAAACCATAGAACCATAGCAACAAGAACCACGGCAACTGAACCATATAGTTA